CCATCCCAGATAGGTCCACTTCTGTCAAGCAGTTCTACAAAAATGAGAAAACTAGAATGTTACTAAGCATTTTATAAAGGTGAGAATTATGTTAATGTTCATAATCAATTAGCCAACATTGGTTTGGTTGGCTCAGAATAAGAAATTGGTAAACATCTTCATTAAGTGGGAAAATCAACTACTTTAGAAGATGTCAAAGTGGGAAAAAACATTTACTTTGTAATGGAAAAGTTAAAAGCAGTCATTTACAAGACTTATGAATTAAATGTTCACACATTTAATGAACAAGTGTAGGCAAACTTGATTTTTTTTTTTTTCGTTCCTCATGAAAGAACAGAATCTCAAGTGTGAATTGGAAGAGAGCTTTCAAAACTTTGGGGACAAATTTGGCATTTTTCTTAGTAAGTAAATGTAAGAGACAGGAAGTAAAGTATTCACCAAGAACATCAGCTGCTCTTTTACTAATTAAATCTGTGTGTTTGGTTGATGTGTGTCCCTTATTTCACCTCCAGAAGGTGCATGTAAATTCGTGTCTCTCTTTTGGATTCTACTTGCCCTTAACAGCAAGAACTGCTTAATTGGCCAGGCATGGTGGTTCACTCCTATAATCTCAGCACTTTGGGAGGCCAAGGCGCTTGGATCACTGGAGGTCAGGAGTTCAAGACCAGCCTGGCTAACATGGTGAAACACCATCTCCAGTAAAAATGCAAAAAAAAATAGCCGGGTGTTATGGCTTGCATCTGTAATCCCAGCTACACCAGAGGCTGAGGCAGGAGAATCGCTTGTAACTCAGAGGCAGAGGTTGCAGTGAGCTGAGACTGCACCACTGCACTCCAGCCTGGGCAGCAGACCAAGACTCCATCTCAAAAAAAGAACTGCTGAATCAATGAAATTAACTTGGTAAGAAGTAAAGGAAAGGTGCTCACTTGGCTATTAAATAAGCAAAGGTTGTAACATAGAATAGAAGTATTGGAGGTTGTTCAGAAACCGAAATTACTTCTCATTAAGGTTGTGCTTAAATTTATGTAGGAGATAAGCTTCCAAAAATTGTATGCATAGTACACATTTTACTTATCTTTAACTGCTTCCCAAAAAATATTGGCTCTTTAGTGGAACCCTAGAGTAAATCTGAAGAGCAGAGTTCTATGTTGAGGAGAATTTTAAGGCCCTAATTTTTCTGTTTGCTAAATCTCTGCTCTGTTCAAGTTGTCTGAAAGCAAAGGCATATTCATGACATAATAATTTGATAAATTATTTCCTGTTCCAAGGCCAGGTCTACAGGACACCGAGACAATAAGCCAATCTAAAGAAAATCAGTCAAGCATGCCTTTCATTAGCATGTGGATCATTCCCTAACACAAACAACAACAATAAAAAACAGCTGTCCGATTTGTTCACTTTCTAACAAATGGAGTTCAGTTAATTATACTCAGTTCCATTGCTTTTAAGGAAGAAATTCAATCAAATCAATTTGGGGTATTATACAAATTATTTAATGAATTGGCTGCAAGTTTTATTTCCCATTGGTGTTGGCATTGTACAATCCCAGGATACTGAGTATCTTAAGGAAATGAATGCCTGAAGAACCAACCAAATCATCTTAGACCAGAGGTTGGCAATTTTTTTCTATAATAAGCCAGAGAGTAAATATTTTAGGCTTTATATGCTGTACAGTCTCTGTCACAACTACTTGACTCTGCCTTGTAGCAAAAGCAGTCCTAGACAATACTCAAATGACAGACATGGCTGTGTTCCAATAAAACTTTATTTACAAATGGGGCAACAGGCCTGATTTAGCACAGAGGCCATAGTTTGCAGACCCCTATTTTAGACCCTTGGAAAACTTTGCAATATCCTATCATCCAAGAACATTTAGACTAGGGCTTTTTAAGTATTCTAATCAAAGTGTGGAAAAGGATATATAAATTTAACATAACACTGATCACTCAAGATGTGCCCACTGGAGATTTCCAGGACGGAAGGTACTAACTCACCACCATCACTACTTATCAGGAAACTTGCTATAATTTTACCTACACTCTCTACTTTAGTTATCACAAAAACCTTGGGAAGCAGACATTAGAATCCCCACTTCCCAGATGTTTCAGAGTGCGAGGAGGAATAACTAAGTTGCACAGTCAGCTTTCAAACCCAGACCTGCCTCCCTCCAAGGCTCCTGCTGCTTCCACTACACTGTTACTAGCTGGGGAGGGATGGTAATTCTTCACATCTACACCTGACCAGCAGACCAAATCCAGAACCCAGGGAGGGGATCTACAGATGGAGTGACTGCATCCAATTGGCCCCTCAGGCAAATTTCAAATCCATTGGTTGAGGCTTGAAGATTTCTACTTCTCTGTGCCAGCGGTTCTGGGCTTTGTCGTGTTATTCTCTCATCTTAACCGAAAGCTCATGTTCACATTTAGTCCACAAACGAGGGTCATGGACTAGGTAGGGAGGAGGCAACGTTCACAAAGTGAATGTTTTCTTAACCCTTTCCAGAACCCCACAGTACAGTCATTTCAGCTCATGCCTCGAGGATGTTTTCTGAAAAAAGAAAGTGCCCTTTCAGCACTCTTGGTGTCTGATTTCAAACCCTGCCCTTCCATCGGGTGTTTGTAAGTGGGCTGACAATGCTGCCCTGTTTTTACTGATTTCCCCACAGGGTTTAGTCACCCAGGTGCCCTCTATATATACCACATACTTGGGTTCAGGTTAAGGGGATGGGTCCAGAGCCCAGGGCCTCTCCTACTTTCTTTTAAGGCTTAAAGGACAATTCAGGATAACTTTGATTTGTGTTCATCTAAACATGTGGAAATATTCACCCCAGTTATTCCACTGATGAGCTTACAATGTGGTCTCCCTTACGATGGAGTTTTGCTGGACCTGACTGGTCTCCAGGGTGTGAGCAGGAAGCATGCCCTCCAGCATCCCCTTTCAAAAACCTGGGGCCGGGCGCAGTGACTCACATATGTAATCCCAGCACTTTGGGAGGCAGAAGCAGGCATATCACTTGAGTCCAGGAGTTTGAGATCAGCCTGGACAACATAGCAAAACACTATCTCTACTAAAAATACAAAAAAATTAGCTGGGTGTGGTGGCAGGCACCTGTAGTCCCAGCTACTTGGGAGGCTGAGGTGAAAGAATCACTTGAACCTGGGAGGGAGAGGTCGCAGTGAGCCGAGATCACGACACGGCACTCCAGCCTCAGCAACAGAGCAAGATTCTGTCTCAAAAGAAAGTCTGTTCATCTCTTAGAAGGAATTAGAAATGAAAAAATTTAGTACAGAACCAAGAGAGAAAAATACAGCAAATTGTATATGCAGGGAAGCAACTCATATCTCAGAGGCTGACACAGACAGAGCGTGAGGTGCCACTGAATGTGACTTCAGTGGCACCTCACTTACTAAGGATAGATCCTCAGAATGGGTATGATTTTTACCCCTACTTTACATATGAAAAATCTAAGGATTGAGAAAAAGGAAAGTGACTTGCTTATAGAAAGTAGGCACCAAGGCAAAACTCCCTCCAGGGGCTTACACAAAAATCAAATGATTCAGCCCTAAGTGAAAGGGCACACAGATGCTTAAAAGCCCCCAGTAAAGAGATGAATGCCCACCTGCTCTCATCCACAGAGCACTTACAACAGGGTCAGCTGCCATTGTCCCAGGAAGGATAGGCTGTCGCTGCTCCATCGCTTGCTGGTAGGAGTTGCATGCCAACCATTCTCGAATATTCCTAGTTATCTTGGGAGAAGTCCATAACTCTCAAACCCAAATTAAAGTTCATTTCTCTTCATTTTTTAAAAAATACATCTTACTGATATCAAATAATGGTGGGTCTTCGCAATCTGAGAAATTTTGAAATCACTCTTCTGTATTACTTGTTAACCAGCTTAAATCCAGAGAATTTACATAAGGCATAAACCAAACGACAAATTGGTGATAAGGTGACAATGTCACATTTTAAACAGTGAAGTTATATTTTCAGAACTTTAATGGATCCAGTCGAGTATCTTTCCATAAAAAGGAACACTCCCTAATTTACCTTTTTCTGTAAATCTAGATTCTTTTATATTAAGCTTGCTTGACACAGAGCGTACTTAAATTAATTAAAAGGCGTTTTAAGAAACTAAGAATCTTTAAGAAAAAGATAGAGCAATTTTTGGTCATTCTTCTTGCTTGAGGAAGTATAGAACTAAGCCCCAATAAGGTTCAACTCTCAGAGGCTGAGTTGGCTTTGTTTACCGCGTGAAAAGAATGTTGTAAATAATCTGTATGATTTCAGTTATGAGTAAGGCAAGTTGCTTTTTGGTCCACATAAAGGAAAATAAAGTTCACAGTCGTCCCATGCAACTCTAGGGAGAAAAATGCAGGCCAAAGATAAACCCACTGCTCCCTTTGCAGTGGGATAGACAGGCCTTGCCACAGAAGGGGAAAAAGAATGACAAAAGGCAAGACACTGGAGCTAGTGAGGACACGCTTCGCCAAGCCAAGTCTCCACTCCTCCCAGGGTATCCACACGAACACGTCACGCCCTGGCAGAAAGCTAAGTCACTCATCTAGAAACAGTCCCAGGGAATTCAACAGCAAGCTGAAGAGCTGCTGCTTCTGGAAATAAAGCCCCTCCTGTAAAGAACTGCATGGCTTTTCCTCCCAGCCCCCAAACCCATCCCACATCTGGCTTTTGTTGTGTGAATCATAAACTGCCCTTTCTTCACCACAGTGATTCATGCACAGGAGCGAGGTACCCCGACCCGTCCCACCTTGGAACACTAGTTCGTTCCCCTCCAGCCTGGAAAATCAGCATCACCTCTGACAGGCTGGTTTCTCCACCAGGCTCCATCCCGCCCACCTCCCCACATCTCACTCCCAGGCTTGGAACCCAGACCCGGTGGCCCCATCACCTCCTCCACCAGCTCCCCAATCCCAGGCCAAGCTGTGATCACCTGGCCCCGCTGGCCCTCGCTTTGCTCTGACAGCCACCGCCAAACCACTTACGTTTTTGCCAGAGCATGGCCTGTGACAGGATGTTGCCTTTTCTCTTTGAAGCCGACAGTTTGGCTTCTTTAATGCGAGACTGGGGTGTGCTTTCCTCCAGTGGAGCCACCGCTTGTGCTGAGGCTGTTTCCTGGGCTTTTTAAAGGCCTGGGTTCCCGCTGCGTGGGGCGCGTCATCACGTCCTCCCACCTCAGGCACGGGTGCAACGTTTCTGCAGCCAGGCCGCCGGTCACCCCACTGTGCGCGCCCCAGCGGCACAGGCCCAGAGTGTTCCACACCCGGAGCCAGCCAGCTGGGACAGAGCAACAGCGTAGCGCAGGCGGCCACAGCCTGCCCAGGCCCCACGGGGACGTGCTGGGTGTGGGTGTAAAGGTGGTGTGGGGCAAGCTGTGGGGACCCCATGTCTAGCCCTCCCCAGGCCAGTGATGAGCCCAAAAGCCTCTCTGGAAAACGTTGGGCTTTGCATAGCGCGTGCAGGTTTCCAAGCCACCAGGGCATGGGGTAGGACTCAGCCCGCCATGAGTGCCTGCTCTGCGGGAAATGCGATTCCCAGGGGTCACTGGTTCTCAACACGGAGGAAACACCTGTCATCTCATCTCTTCAAGCCTCAGTAAACAACCTTCTCATTCTTTTAATATTGCTTTTCTGTTTATTCCATTTTGAAACACAATAGCCCCTCCCCTCGCCCCCAGCCACCCCCAAAATGGCAAGGCTTAATCATGCTGAAATATGGGGGCGCTGGTTTTGATGGCGGCTATGCCCACGAAGAAAGAGGCCAAACTTCTCAGGGAAGAAAGGAGAACGTGCCCGTGCTTTTTGACTGGAGCTGGGCTTGTAGGCACAGGATGAACAGGGCCTCTCTGCCAGTGCCCACCCACTGATAACAGGAAGCTTCTTGAAGTAAAAGTCATGAGTTCACCACCTGGAAGTGTAGAGGGTGTTTGGCCACCAGCTCCTTCCCGGTTTGGAAGTCTCCTGCCACTGCATATCTGAGGTCCACATGCTCAGGCTCCAGGGACTCAGCCAGTTTGGGGTCAAGACCCGTTGGCTACCGCCCCTAGAGCAGGTGTGGGGCCTTGATGCTCTACAGTCCATAGTGCCTCAGAGCCATCTTGCACCACCTAGACCTGATCATGCTATCCTCCAGCCTACAAAGCATTCACCTTTTCCATTCAGCCACAGAGCTGGAGGCCTAGAAGGCCTCCCGCTATTGAGCCCTTGCCTTCCTTTCCAGCCTTACCACCCACTGCCCTCCAACCACTGGTCCCAGTGCCCTCTAAGCACTACCGAATATCCATGTAATTCCCTCCTTTGACTTTGCCATCCTCTCTTGCTGGGAGGACAAACCTCTAAGCCCAGAAAATATTTGTCGCTCTTTTCAGCTCTTAGTGCACTTTATCAATTCATTACGTGATGGTGAATTGTCACATGACTCTGTAAGTTTCTCAAGGAGGTTTCATCTTTGCCTCTCCAGTGCCCCCATACAAGACCTGGAGCGTACTGACGCCTCAAAAAATTCATCTGATGAAGTTATGAATTAATGTCTCTAATGGGTTATTGATTTGAGGCCAAGTCTTGAAGAGAACTGATGTCCACATTTCATAAATGACTCACTCAAAAGCCAGGGAGGCTGTCTCCTAGCTGGGAATAAGCCCTCCCCACAAAGCCTCTGCAGTTCGGGACAGTGGAGGCCCCCAGGCTGCAGCAGCTGACAGTCCGAACCCTGGCCTGGCAGTGGGCAGTATGGCAAGGCCTTGGACTGCACTGAGGAAATTTCATGAGAAACAGAGGCACATCCCTCAGGCCTGGCTCAGTCACAGGAGACGTGGGTTCCCATGAAGGCTCTGACACTCACTTGCTGTGTCCCCTTCAACAAGTCACATAACTCTTCTAGCCTCAGTTTCCTCATTTATAAAATGAAGAACTAGTTCTGTGAATGTCTCACAGGTTCTTAGGAGGCTGTGACCTCACTGGTCCTCTCTCCCATGGGTCTGTCTTTTGTCTATTTTGATTATGTCTCATTCTCTCCAAGCCCATGAAATTGAGAACTTTTTCTTATTCATCTCAGTGTCTCCCCACAGGCCTAGCATGATCATTTCCACAAAGTAAAAATAATAACCATTCACTGTGCAAGAGGCTCCATGTTAAGCCTTAAATACATGAACTAATCTAGTCACCACAAAAACTCTGTAAGAAAACTTCTATCTGTATTGTTCAGAGCAACAAACAAATACTTAGGGAATGTCATTTGCCCAGTGTCACCAGGCTATCAGGTTATAGGGTGGTGCCTGACCCAAGTTCATCTGACTAGAGCCAGAGCTCTAAATAATTAAACTAAAAGGTATTTATTAGGTTGAAAGAAGTGAAAGCCAAGTGTCAGCCATGTTTGTTAGTAGTAATATAGGATCATGATTATTCAAACTAAAGCAGATCAATAGAAGCTATATCCCCTGGGATAAATTTCTGTCCTTTGGAAAGAGGGAAGGAAAAGGTAAAACCCAGAGATATTCTGACAAATCAGATCTTGCACAGTGGCAGAAAAAAAAATGTCAGTAGGCAAGCCCACCATCAGGGCCAGCAATAAACCCACCACCTCTTACAGCCTCAAAGCTCATGAGGCAGATTCCAGCTCATTTCTTCCAGCAAATACCCTGCATATCAGTGACCACATATAAGCAGGTGCTTTGGAATCAAGACTTGATCAAAACAGCACATATTTTCCAGGAAAATATTTTCTGTGACTTAGAATCAAAAGTCAAACTTCATGGCATAGTTCAAAAGAGGTGACTATGTTTATGCAATGTCTCAAGAAATGGAAGAAAAGAAAAAAAAAAATCTATGAATGTGGTCCAGATGTCTCCAAATACAGGTGTGCTCCCATTTTTAAAGAATTTGATATACCAAGATCAAAACTTCTAAAATAATTTCTTAAAGAGCACTGATTCATATTGTAAAAGAAATTTTAGCTTTGCAAAAAGATTCACCATCGACTTACTTTCTTCCATCATTTAATAGATAGAGTGCTTATTATATGCCATTACCTGTGCCAAGTCTTAATCTTTTCTTTTCATTTGGCCTTTAATCACCTTCATTCATGGCACTGCATCATTTTTGATTTGTGAAGAGCCCCTATCTTATTCACTCATTCATTCATTTGCTCAGTAATCTATTTATTCATTCTTCTGCTTTCCCCCTCATTTTCCAGGTCTATTCTTTTTCCTGTCCCCTCACACCCCCATCACCCACCCACCATTCCAATCAGGGAAACTCTTTTCAGTGGTTGATGTTGAGACTTTTATTTGTAGACATTCGTTCCTGTTCTTATAAGATAGGTTTTGTTTGGCATGTGTAGATGTTTAATTCATGTAGATGATGTTATGTTATACATTTCACACTGTTTCTTATTTTTTTAATTCAGCACAATGTTGTAAGAGCTATCCACATTGATGTAGACATTCTGTGTCTCACTTCTAACACCTACAAAGTATTCCATGGTGTGCAAGCACTGCATTTTACCTAAGCAGACTGTCTCCAACTCCCTCTTCCACAAACAAAGCATCGATGAACATTCTTATGTGCATCTTTTTTCAAAGGCATGTGAAAATTTCATGGAGGTTATATGCCCAGAGGTGGAATTACTGGGTCAAATAATAGGTATATATTTAATTTGACTAAATACAAACAAATTGCTGTCCAAGACTTTCACCAGCACTTCGTTCTTCTCCCAGCTTCTCATATTTCTGCTTTACCACCAAACCTGGCATCATCCAAGGTCTAAATGTTGCTAGTGTGGTAGATGTAGTGATAGCAACAGTGCAGTGGTTTATTTTAGTGCAGTAGTGTAGTGATAGTGTGGTGGTTTGTTTTACATTACTAATACTAATGCATGTAAGCATGTCTTCATATGCACGTTAACCCTATGGAGTTTCTCTTCTCCAAAATGCCTGTTTAATCACTTCTAGGTCTTTTGGCTAAGATCAAGTGTAATATACGTTCTTGCCCGTTTAAAATGTATGTTCATTCCTTTGCCAATTTCTCTACCAGGGTTGCCCTTTTTCTTGTTAATCAGCATTTCTTTGTACATCTGTACTCTAGATGTACAATTCTAGATATTTTCAGTTTTGCTCAACACAAATTTCTTCACTCTTGTCATCTGCTAACTTTATTCATAGTGTGATTTTTGAATAGAAATACATACTTTATGTACATAAACCCATTTTATTTTATTGGTCTCATTGTTCTTGTACTTTACAGTTTTCATTGTTATTTATTATAGCACAGCTTAAAAGTTTCATATAGGTTTATCAAGTTCCTCAAAACAACCCAGCCAGGCGCAGTGGCTCATGCCTATAATCCCAGCACTTTGGGAGGCTGAGGCAGATGGATGGATCACCTGAAGTCAGGTGTTTGAGACCAGCCTGGCCAACATGGTGAAACCCTGTCTCCACTAAAAATACAAAAATCAGCCAGGCGTGATGGCAGGCACCTGTAATCCCAGCCACTCAGGAGGCTAACGCAAGAGAATAGCTTGAACCCAGGAGGTTGCAGTGAGCTGAGATCACACCACTGCACTCCAGCCTGGGCGACACAGAAAGACTCTGCAAAAAAAAAAAACTGAAATTTTGATTCATTTTCATTGAATTTATAGATTACTTTGGGAAAGACTGATATCATTATAAAATTAATTTGGTCCGGCTAAGCATGGGACAGCTCTCAATCTCCTCAGATCATATTCCATGTTTTTTATTGTTAGAGTTTTTAGATTTTCTCCACAGAAGCATAGTATATTCTTAAATAAGCTAATTCTCAATTATGTTATCGTTTCTGTTGATATTGTGAATGGCATCTTGTTTTTTATGTAATTTTCTAGTTGGTTATTGATGCTATAGAAAAATTCTAATATTTGAGAGTTTATCTTATTTCTAGAAACCTTGCTGGATTATTTTATTTATTCTAATAGTCTTTCTAGGTAGAAGGTGATCTCTTCTGAAAGTAATAGAAGTTTTACTTTTTCCCTTCCAATTCTTCCATCTCTTATTTCTTTCCTTTCCTACAGTGTTGGCCAGTACAATGACAAGTAGCAATGGTAGTAGTGGTCATTCTTGCCTTGTCCTTGTCTTACAGAAATGACAAATTCCTAATTTTTTTTTAAGATAAAAAATCTTTGATTGAAAGGGCTCATGGGCAACAATAGAGTTAAGGTAAAACAAACACTTGGATACATTATAATGAAATTTTAAAACAATAAAAAAAGGACATTCTAAAAGCTTATTGAGAAAAAGAATATATTCATAGCTAAGGAATAAGAATCAAAATGACAGTATACGTCTCCACAGCAAAACTAGACGCAAGCAGATAATGAAGAAATACTTTTAAAAGTACTTAAGAAAACAAACACTGAACCTATAATTTTAAATCTAGCCAAATCGTCATTTTAATACTGTAGAATAACAAAGACGTCTTCAGACCTTCAAGACTCCCAGTAAAATTGCTCTTGGTGGAAGCATTCAAATGAATAGAGTGACCCAGGAGGATGTTGCAAGACATATGAGAGCAAAAGGTCATCAAAAACTCGGTAAAGTTTATTATATGAGTT